TTATATTATATCTTTAGGCTACAGTTAGGTATCGATTAGTTCAAGCTAATATCTTTAGTATATAAGTACTTAGTTGGAGATAAATTACTTGAATATTTTACATTTCTCTTCAATGCTAGCACACACAACTTATGGTAAAAGCATTTAATTGAATGTGTGTATGTGTGTGAATTAGTGTGTTTGGCATATCCACAAAGTAACCACATATGCAGATTGCTTGGCAACACTATCTTTAATCCACCATTTCGGTGATTAAGTAATTAATTGTGGAATTAGAGGTGTACTGTAAGGAAATGATGCTGCGAGCTAGTCGGTGATGCGGTCAAGTAGTCCAACAAAACTAGGTGAAACCTTAGCTTCTGCGCGCCGTTTAATAAAATTAAATGCATTAATTAGGCCTTCGCCTTCATTCAATGTCGGTAATCAATTTTAAATTGCAGCGCATGCCTTGAGAATTTAACACATAGATAGAGTGATTGAAATGGAAGGTTTAATAATAATACAAGTATCACCCATCAAATAGCCGAGAAGTACTGCTTTTTTTGAGGGTTCGGAGGACGCGGTTCTTCCTATAGCACTTTGAATTTAGCAGCGATCGGACGCGATTATTATCGGAGCTTTCTAACGAGGAAAATAACAATACTTAATGAAAACGTGCTTTGCAACGCGACAACGTATCAGTAAATATAACTAAGTTACGATAAATAATTGAATGATAATAGTTTTAAAATATAAATGATATTCTATTCTTAAGTTAATTAAGGTTTAATCGCCTTTATAGTAATTATAAGTACACAAGGTTAGATAAGATTAGATTAAATAAAACCATTAGCGTTTATTATCGGAGCTTTCTAACGAGGAAAATAACAATACTTAATGAAAACGTGCTTTGCAACGCGACAACGTATCAGTAAATATAACTAAGTTACGATAAATAATTGAATGATAGTAGTTTTAAAATATAAATGATATTCTATTCTTAAGTTAATTAAGGTTTAATCGCCTTTATAGTAATTATAAGTACATAAGGTTAGATAAGATTAGATTAAATAAAACCATAATTTATGAATTGGTATTTTCTATTAAGATCTTGGTTAAAATTTAGAGTTAGATCAATCTAATTTTAGGGAAATTATTTTCAAAATCGTAATTTAAGGTATGTAAGTTCAGAAAAAGAACTTAAGGGGTTACATGGGTTTCACGGCTTCAAAAAACCAAATTTTTTTAGTGTCTTATTTAATTATATAACATCTCTAGAATATTGTCCTAACTTCTCAAGTTGATATCCACTTGAGTGGGTCAAAAGGGTACTGAGCGACGTGGGCGACGGGAAAGTGTGCTCGAGCGAACCCCACACCTCGATAAAGCGATGTCGCTAAATCGCTAACTTCGCAAGCTCAGTGGAGCTTGGTGTGTACGACCGAAGCAGGGGAGATGGAGACATCTCCCATGACGAGTGGAAGTGGGTAGCGGCTGATATCTCAGCTGTTTTCATGAAGGTGGTCAGAGGAAGCCCTGGACCACCCCCTAGATGGGAAAGTGCCGGGTGGAACATAGGCATTCACAAACTAATTAGGTGTGCCGATCGGCTCTCCTTTATAAAAAGGCGGTAGCCAGGGTAGGGGAGGTGTGGAAAGGAGCAAGGCTCGAGGCGGTGGCCAAATCGGATCTCCCGATGCGGCCTTGGGCTCGGGTCTGGCTTCCGGCCGAACCTTCTACCCTGACGATAGAGATGTTGCGGTAATGCAATCCATCTTTTCCCACCCAAGACTGGAGGGTGATTAGGCTGGAGACCGAGGCATCATATCGGCAAGCGCTGATACTTCTAAACAAGGAGTCCCTCGCTCCTCTCAGTGTCACAAAGGGGGCCATAAGCTATGGCTTCGAGAGGGTCGTTCTCAGAATGCTTCAACAGAAGCCAGGGCGGATGGCCCGCAGCCTCCTGCTGGGGTGGAAGAGAGTGGGAAAGTTTCCCTCTTAAAAATGGATGTCGACCCTGTCCTCTCGGACGCGGTGAGCACGGGGGGCGGATCGCCAGGTGATGATGAATCCGTTCTCAATCTCGAGCGCCTGTTCGAGGAGGCTGGCGTATGATATGGACGATGGTCCGGATCTCGCACTGCTGGAGAGGAGTTTGGAGGATGAAGATCCTCCAAATTAACCTCCATCACTGAAATGCGGCGTCCGCCGATCTATTGCTTCGTCTAGGAAGGGACGAAGCCGACGTTGACCTTAAGCTCAAAAATGGTCTGCCAAAATTCCATTTTTAACTTTTTAGGCGGAGTTTTAATTTTTTTTTTGAAAATCTTAGAAAATATATCTTAGATGTGTATCTTTAAGACTGAAGAAAGCTTGAGTTACATAAATAATTTTTTATATAGGAAAACAATTTTTGAAAATAGGCATTTTTTTACCCGACCAAACCCATGTAAGCCCTTAATAAAATAGGTATATTATGTTGTTCGTCATTGAAGTTTATCTTTTGTTAATCTAACTAAGTAAATTTTGTACAGATATTATAAAATCATGCCTGGAAGACGTTGTCGTTCGAGCATAGATCGTAGTATAGTAAATGCCAGAAGAGTACGTTCAGCAAGAGATGAAGAATCGTCAACGGAACGTGAGGGTCGCGTCAGCCAGGCTCGGAATAGATATCGAGCAGAGGGAGAGAGAGAATATTCAGTAGAGCGTGAGGTATATGGTTCAGAGATTTTCAGTAGAGCGAGGATCGTCGCATCCGATACAGGGTAGAAATCGAACAAAGAGAGCCACAGAATCGTCAGCACGAGCTAATTCATGAGTTAATAAAGAAAATTCTGCGATGAATTACGATCCTTTGTTTTTTTACAAGGACGATCGTATAGTATCAATAGGTACCATATCAGTAGTGTGTGAACATTGCTTGGCATTGAGATTCAAGGACGAATCGAAAAGCATGTGTTGCTTACAGGGAAATGTCAAATTAGAAGAAATTCTCCATCCACCTGAACCACTTCACTTCGCTGATGGCCGCTTCTCTGAAATTGGAGAGCTAAGTTCGGGAGTAACTAAACATTATATACTCCTGCAACTTGAAAGTATTAAAGCCGGCGAAATACCTTCAATTGTTTTCAAAACTTTATATTACAAAATTGCGAAAGGTTTCAGCTTCATTGTTCGACGAAATCGTGACAGGATTACAATTTAAATTCGTATCATATTAACTTATTTTGATGGTCATAGATTCACTTAGTTTTGCCATATTACTATGAGATATATGTGACATATTTACAAGCAATTTTATAAATATATAAATATAAACATACATATATATAGAGTAAAGCCGGCCCGTTGTTTCAAAATCCTGAACATCAGTTATATGGGGGCTAAGGAAAGTTTTTGCCCGAAATTATCTGTTTTATAACAAAACAATGCTCTCTTAATTTCATTAAAACATTTTCCCTGAACTTCAATAATATATCTCACAGATTAACCGATATTTTCGGCCAAAAGTCAATTTATATTTATATATTTACAAGTTATTAAATTTAACTATTTTTTACGCTTTAATTATATGTTAGATGAGTTAGTAGATGGAATGTTACTGAAATATAATATTTACAATTAGGTAAGAATTTATAATGTTTAGAAATGCCGGCTGCACATAACCCCACTTATTCATAGAGAATCAGAATTTTTGACTCAACCTAAACGCATTATAACTATAAATTTCTTAATCTCATATTACATGTAGTAAGTTTATAAAAAACATATTCCTTTTGATCAGACGAGTTATAGCTCTCAGAGCAGTTAATATGGTAACATGAAAATTGTATATGTAATCTTATTAATTTTTTTTGTTTTTCCTTACTGTTCATGTTTTGTTTTATAAATAAATCCAAAGTTTATCTCACCCGTCATTAGGTATTCCTCAGAATTGAACGCTCTACAAAAGTCTCCATTGCGGTAAAGTTATAACTTGCACCTGCGGGGTAGTAAGGGCCCCCAAACCTAATTTTTCCTTTTTGAGATATAGAGATTTTAAGTTGAAGTGGTATGGAATTCTTAAGTTGAATTGTTAAATAAATTAATTTCACTATAAATTGTCATTTAAATCACCAAATATTTATATTTTAAATTGCAAACGATTGAAAAATTACTATTATTGAACATTTTGATGCTGAAAAAAAAAATTTTTCTTTTGAAATTTTCAAATTTTTTTCCTCTTACTAAAAATTTTATATCAACTCTCTCCTGGTTTTTATTTTATCTGTTAATCATCTACTGTATTTAAAGTTTTTAAAAAAGTGAGATAAAAGTAAGCAAAACAAAGATGGGATGATTTGTACTTCTTCACTCTTTGTATTATGATACTGATAAATTTTTGTTTACGTAAAATACCAAGGCATTGTATGTTATTACTCGACCTCACCTGAGTTTTACAAATTTGCCGTTTAATTGCAGCGCTTTCTTTGTTATCGCGTTGGAGTTCCGCGAGAGCTTCGCGACTACTGAGCGGCCTAACGTCGTTAAACGTTTTTTGCATTAAATTTGAGGTTAAGTAAACTAACCACGCCCACATTTTAAAATAATTTTAAACTTCGGATGCCCCTCTCTAGTGTGATCCTGTATACCAAATAACAGTCTTGTATCTTATTGTGGATCTTAATTATGACAATTTATTTGTTTTTGATTAATGGCGTTTTGTGGGCGTGGCAGTGGTCCGATCACACCTATCTGCAATACCAACTGTTTTACGGTACAAAGAAACATGTGTACCAAGTTACAGCTTGCACGGACGGACGGACGGACAGACAGCCACCCGTATTTCAACTCGCCTCTTCATCCTGATCATTTATATATATATAACCCGGTATCTAACTCGATTAGTTTTAGGTGATACAAACAACAGTTAGGTGAACAAAACTATTATATTCTGTAGCAACAGGTTGCGAGAGTAAACAGTTTAAATATTTCAAAGTACAGTTTATTAAAAAAAAATTACTTCATTTATCGTCTAGGTCGGCAGATTCGTACGGCTACGCGTTTTAAAGCAAACTCGTCGCCTCAAGTTCGCATATTTTCGTTCGAACCTTCTCAAAAACACTTCTTATGTAAAAGGGTTTCAGTGTTATCTTAATTTAATTTAAAATGCAAGTGAATATTTTTTTTCCGTGAATGAGTCTGGCGTACATATATCTCAAATAGTTTATATTAGCGTTTGTAATAAAGTAAAATTAGGTTTAATTTTATTCTTAAAAAATTAACAATATAATATCAAAGAGCGAAATGATTAAATGACCAATAAAAATTGAATTTGAAGTTTACAATTGTGTCAATAAGTAAAACAGAGAAAATATAGGATATAATAAATAGATTTGTGTAATTCGGTAACAAAGTGGGAGATTAAGTGAATAACTCTCCCAAAATGTCGCACTTCAGCGCGATTTTCGAGAATTTACGATTGGTAGCTGCAAAACGTATGCCTAACACTCCCACGTATCAACAAAGCCAACAGCAGCAAAAACAACGCAATACAACAGCAAACGAAGAAATCCAAACAAACCATCATTCCTCGCCGCCAACACCGGAAATGAGCAGCGAAAAAGAAAATGACAATAGAAGGTCGCAAATATACATTAAAGAGCCACACGAAAAGCTGCAGCAGCAAACTGTATCTTTGACAGCAATAACAATAGCAGGTGGCAGTAAAGGTGCCCATTGCACATCCAAACGACAAAATTACGCAAAAAGGCAGAGCGTTTCAGGTCGAGGTGCTGATAATGCCAAAAACTCGCCGGTGCATATTGGACGCAGTGCGGTGGTAGGCAGCGGTGGGCCTGGTGTTATTGTTGAAATCGATGTAAATTGCAGCAGTGGGGGAGGCGGAGGTAAAGCACGCGAGCTTTCACCTACCCCGAAGAATACGGGACAGCGCAAAATGTCGCAGGATTTTCGTGCACGAGCTGGTAGTTTTATACACGTTGATGAAGAGGGACGCAGTATACTTATACGTAAGCCAGTGCGTCTAAAGAATATCGAAGGTCGTCCAGAGGTTTACGATACTTTGCACTGTAAGGCTAAAGAGGTGAGTAAATATTATACATACATACATATGTGTTAGTAAAGTAAATACCACAACAAGTATCCATATATCCGATGGGTAAGCACAAATATCTTAGTGTTATTAAGTATTTTGAGTAGCATCTCTGAACCGGTCAGTCAGAACTTTAAAAAAGCAAAGGGATACAGAAAAGAGTAAATGGTTTTATTAGTGAACTAATAGGGGAGGACTAAGTCCGTCATTGTTGATTATCATGTTTAAGTTTGTTTAAATTCCGGTCCACATAAATCTTCGAAAATAAATTTGCTTACAATCCATTCACCGCACAAGGGTTTTGTAACAGCAAGAAAATCCCTCTATTGCTTTATATGTGACAAGTAACAGAAATTGTATACCCTCTATAAGATGTTGCTAAAATATTTTTGTTTTAAATTTGCTTATATTTATTGGATAACATAGAATTTCTTGCGGCCATGACATAGTTTAAAGTTAAATGATTGTTACAAATGAAGTAAATAAAATGTTTTCAATTCAGAAGCTATTGCTATAAGCAACACTAGTGTGGTTGCACTAATTCTTTGGCTAACTAAGTAGTGTAAAATAAACGTAGTGATTGGTTCGTGACTGCATTATATGTTTTCTGTTTAATTAAATTTTTTGTAACTTGGGTGTCACAATTAAGCTCAGCAAGAAGTTAAGATGAATTAAGCTCAGCAAGAAAATGAGATGAGAAGATGAGATATGTATAAGCACATATTTTCATCTGATTTCATCCATTTTAGGCACAAAAATACTCCATTATTAGACACCGTGCTTGTCCTTAATTTCCCTTGGTTGTCCATTAATTTCATTAAAATAACTCCAATTCCATTGGCCGATACGTAGTATAAAGTCAACTGGAAGTTCAAAAACCTTTATATTAGGTATACGGGGGTTAAGGGAAGTATAAACCCCATTTTTGACACAAGGGTATCTTATTACCAAATAAATATTTTCCTCGAATTTCAGTAATATATTTCACAGATTGACCGATATTGACGGCAAAAAGTCAGCCATACGCTACATATTATATTTGGCGCCTGGGTTCTTCAAAAGTTATGTTCCGATTTTGACAATTTTTGGGCGTGAGGGCACTATTTGTGCAAAGTTATATCCGGATACATTGATTTGTTCTTGATTTATGTGCTAGAAAGTGAAAGAATCAGATTGAATTTAAAATTGCGTTTTATGGGAAGAGAGCGTGGTTTTTGTCTGAATTTGGTTGAAATCAGTAGAGTAGGTCTTGAGATATGGATTTTCACCTAAATGTGGGCGGTGTTACGCCCACCGACCAAATTTGACATCGGCTTCTATAAAGCCCTCTCGTGTCTTCTCGAGTGTAAAATTGTATGTCTCTGAAGCATTTAGCTACTGATTTATCGCACTTTTAGTATTTTTTTACAAAAGTAGTTTTTTTAGAGGGCGGGGTCCCACGCAAAATTTTAGCCCACAGGTGCCCTTGCTACTGCAATCCCCTGTATCAAATTACAGTTTTATATCATTATGTAGTGTTTAGTTATGAATTTTATATGTTTTGGATTACTGGCGTTTTGTGGGCGTGGCAGTGGTCTGAATACTAGTTTTAAGTTTTTTGTCAAGGAACACGTGTACAAAATTTCATAACGATATCTAAATTTTAACTCAAGTTACAGCTTGCATTGCTCCATTAATTTCAAATGGAAATTTGAAAAATAAATTGAAGTTATATCTAAAGGAAAAGTATTGGCAATATACCAAACATTATTCTGTTTAAAAGACTTTTAAAAATATATAAGCTCAACGTCTTCTCATGCTTTTGATTTAATTTAAAAATACTATAAGAAAAGTTTTAGAAAGCTCCTGAAGAAAGTGACAGTTTCTTGTTCTGTACAATATCATAGTAATATAGCATAACTTTAAAGCTTTACACAATACTTATACAATAAATCAAATGCAATTCAAAACGTCATTTTTTGAGATCACAAGTTTTAAATTCGACTATCTTTGACCTATGTATAGCTTTCTTTTTGTACTATAGATCAGGTTGACAATAAAATTTCAAAAGAATATATTTGAATAGTTGGTGAGATTTGTTTTGTTGGGATAATAAACAAAATATAATTTTTTAAATAAAAATATAAATAAAATATTTTAGATACAATGTCGGATGGGTAATATATCGTGAAACATAGTAGACCTATGCGTCACGCCACATAAGTACAACTGACTGTCTGTAATCCCGTTTTATAAATATAGTACAGCACTGACGACCTTGACGATAATTCTATTCTAATTCCTAATCTATTCGGGCAAAGTGAGTTAAATAAAAATTATAATAATTCTTTGGTGAAAATGTATTTATAATGGAAATTGAAAATTTTGAAGAATATTTTCGAAACAAAGCTTTACTGCATATTTATTGCTTTTTTCATCACCTCTGACGTGTAGCATGTTACCGATATCTTTTGGGTGTTCGGTTTCCCAGGACTCCGATTTTCACTAAAATAATATATACAGTTCTAAATTAATATATTTGTAATAATTTTGATAAAAATAAATATATAACAAGCAAGGAAGAGCTAAGTTCGGGCATCACAGAACATTTTATACTCTCTACTTAATTAATTATATTAAAGTTTATTCACTTAGGTACCATTTTGCTGTATTTTACTTCGCGCCGGCAAAAATTGTATTATATAATATAATCATATTCAAATAAGATATATGTGATATAAATTCATTATATTAGGGACCAAGGTCTAGACGCACTCCATTCATATTCAGCGCTAAACCATTAGTATGCTTTTATAATTTTTAAGAAAACTTGTCCACTTAATTTCTTTAAAATATCCTATATTTTGATCAACCTAAACGGCTTAAAGGCAGCTGGAAAGTCGGAAATCACTATACAGGGTATATTGGGGGCAGAGAAAGGTACTGATGTACCTTGCATTAACTTTTGACAGTGCTGAGTTGAGAACATATTTTTAAGCAGTTTTATAGATCAATTTCCATTAACTTTTGACAGTGCTGAGTTGAGAACATATTTTTAAGCAGTTTTATAAATCAATAAATCACACACTGACCGAGTATTCGGCATACGATTTGTTAGAATAAAGAAAATCGTTTTATATAGCATATGGGAGTTTGGGTAATCCGTGGACGAATTTCACATATTTTCGGCATTAAACTATAGTATAATCAATATTATACGTTTAGTTAATTTTGCGGTATAAAGGCAACCGGAAGTTTGAAAATCTTATATGAGGATAAAGTCAACCAGATGTTTTAAAATCTTGATAATTTTTGGTCATAAGATGACACATTTTTATCCCGATACATTTATTGGTGCTTAATTTCTATTCTGAAAAATTAAAAAAATAGGTGGAATTTAAAATTGTGTTATATGGGAAGTAGGCGTGGTTGTAGTCCGATTTCGCTAATTTTCGCATTGTCTTATATGTAGGAATGTCAGAGTAATACCATCCATTTGGTACGATGAAATCATTTGAGCAGGTCCTGAGATGTGGGTTTTCACCTAAAAGTGGGCGGTGGCACGCTATCGTAAAATTTTGATTTTATTTATTGATTTATCCCACTTTTAGTAGTGCAAAACCGTTAGCGGAGTGGGCGGGGTTATAATCCGAATGCACCCACTTTCTCACTGTTGGTAGGGGGGCTAAAAAGAATGTCGCGAGTGAATTTGGTTATTATAGCCTTAGCGGTTTATGAGATGGATATGGGGATGGGTATGGTGGGATGGTTTGTGCCATATATTTCTTTTATCGAGCACATGACACTTTTATGCTAATAATACAACTATTTTTCGGCCAATATTTCTGTCAGTTTATATAAGGTATTATATTTTACATTTTAGTTTGAAGTGGTTTAAAAGCCTGTTTTTAGTTTTTTTTAATCTAACGGGTGATCCAAGTAGAGGTACTTTTTTCAATAGCCTTTTTTTTGACAGATCATGCGTGAGTCCTTTCGTAAAATATCTAACGCGTACCATCGGTGCCAAAACTTATTGAAAGATATTATAAGCTATAATGTGTATAATAATTGCACATATAAGTTGGGAAGCTTCGGTTCCGCAGCAAAACCACAAACTCGCAAAATAAATACAATGTTAAAGATTGATAATACATAGTAATATCGAAGCAGATATGGTGATGGTGTTTCGCATTCACGTCTAATAATGCCATTTAAAGTTTAAACGAAAACAAGTAAGGTACAGCTAAGTTCGGGTGTAACCGAACATTATACTCTTGCAACTTCCAAAAATAAAAGCTCGGGAAATACCTTTGGGTACCACCCTTTACTTTAAAAAATGTTGTGAAAAAATTCAACAACCATTATTCGACGAAATTGTAAAAGAATTATAATCAAATTTGGTACCTTATTAACTTTATAGGTCGTAGACTCACTTATAGCGTTTTCTTTTCTCGATGAAAATGTTTCCATGTTCCATTTTTTACATGACAAAAGAACACAAAAATGCCAACCAACTCATTTGCAGTCTTCTTGAGCTTAAGAAAACTGATCGATTCATTATAATTAATAGGAAAACTTGATTTAAAAAACTAACTCTCACCATTACTTTTTTTCATAGGGCAGAATAAATGCAACATTTTTGTGAGAAAAGAAAACGCTATTAGTTGTATAACTATGTTTTAATTATAGTTAGTGAAAATTATATTAAAATCATCCTCAAATGAAATATATGTAACATAAACTCAAAAGGCTAAATTTAATATACTCATTTTTTATGCTCTCAAACTTTCATTTGTATTTGGAGTTTTATGTTTTTATCTGTATCTCATAAGTCTGAAAAAACAATGAAGCAATTCATCTCAGTCAAAAAACGTATAATTTTAAAAACTTTGACAGTTTTAAGTTCTTTTGAAAGAAGATACGTCATTGCGATCACTTTCCAGTGCTGCAAAATAGCGTTATCTTCCGAGGGTTAAGGAAGTGTAAATCAACTCCATTAATATAGGTACAAA